AGTAGCTGGGACTACAGGCGCCCGCCACAACGTCTGGCTAATTTTTTGTATTTTGTTAGTAGAGACAGGGTTAGCCAGGATGGTCTCCATCTCCTGACCTCCTGATCTGCCCGCCTCGGCCTCCCAAAGTGCTGGGATTACAGGCGTGAGCCACCACGCCTGGCCTCTCTTTTCATTTTGAGATGGAGTCCCACTCTGTTGTCCAGGCTGGAGTACAGTTGGATGATCTCAGCTCACTACAACCTTCACCTCCCAGGTTAAGTAATTCTCCTGCCTCAGCCTCCTGAGTAGCTGGGATTACAGGCGCGCACCACCACGCCCAGCTAATTTTTGTTTTTAGTAGAGACGAGATTTCACCATGTTGGCCAGGCTGGTCTCGAACTTCTGACCTCAAGTGATTGGCCCGTCTTCGCCTCCCAAAATGCTGGGATTACAGGTGTGAGCCACGGCACCTGGCCGAAACAACAGACTTTCCAAAGTCTAAGGTTCCTTATGGAGACTTCCAGCAAGGCAAATTCAGGTGAGCTTATCTGGTAAATGAGTACTACATAATCAGGCCAAATCTAATGAGATCAGCCTTATAATCAAAAATACATTTCCTTGGCCAGGCACAGTGGCTTACGCCTGTAATCCCAGCACTTTGGAAGGCCGAGGCGGGAAGATCACTTGAGGTCAGGAGTTTGAGACCAGCCTGGCCAACTTGGTGAAACCCCAAGTCCACTAAAAATACAAAAATTAGAACTGAAAAAAAAAATACAAAAATTAGCTGAGTGTGGTGGTGTGTGCCTGTAATCCCAACTACTTGGGAGGCTGAGGCAGGAGAATAGCTTGAACCCGGGAGGCAGAGGTTGCAGTGAGCTAAGATCACACAACCACACTCCAGCTTAGGTGACAGGGTAAGACTCCGTCTCCAAAAAAAAAAAAAAATTTCCTTGATTATGAGATCAAAAGAAAAATGTGTGCTTCAGTGGAAAATGATACATTGTTTAGAACACATCTTTCCAGATTATCTTATTCTCCTCTTTGAGCTATTTGTACAACTCTGTAAATTGTGAACAGCTGAGAAAAATGCAAAGTAATTCTAGCATATAGGAGACAGGGTCTAGCTCTGCTGCCCAGGCTGCAGCGCAGTGGTGCAATCACTACAGCCTCAAACTCCCAGGCTCAAGTGATCCTCCCACCTCGACCTCCTGAAGTGCTGAGACTACAGGTGTGAGCCACCAGGCCTGGCGTCTCTTTTTCTATTTAAAGAAATACGGCCAGGCACAGTGGCTCACACCTGTAATCCCAACACTTTGGGGGGCCAAGGTGGGCAGATAACGAGGTCAGGAGATCGAGACCATCCTGGTGAACACGGTGAAACCCCGTCTCTACTAAAAATACAAAAAAATTAGCCAGCCATGGTGGTGGGCACCTGTAGTCCCAGCTACTTGGGAGGCTGAGGCAGGAGAATGGTGTGAGCCTGGGAGGCAGAGCTTGCAGTGAGCTGAGATCGTGCCACTGCACTGCACTGGGCAACAGAGCAAGACTCTATCTCAATAAATAAATAAATAAATAAATAAAATACAGACATGTAAATAAATTCCCCCACTGTGGAAGAGGCCAGTTTTGCCTCCATTTGCACATTCACTTCAATATTCCTGATCTAGAATCTTTCAGATTATTCTTTGGATTCTCTTTTTTTTTTTTTCCCCCCCATCACAGAGTCGCCTTCTGTCTCCCAGGCTGGAGAGCAGTGGCTATATCTCAGCTCACTGCAACCTCCGATTTCTGGGCTCAAGTCATTCTCCTGCCTGTGCCTCCCATGATCTGCCCACCTTGGCTACTCAAAGTGCTGGGATTACAGGCATGAGCCACCACGACCAGCCCATGTAATTTTAAAAATTGCTGACTGGAACCTAATGATTTTAACACCAATGACTAAGCAGTTTGAAAAACAGTGCCCTAGACCAAAACAAAGGAAATAAAACTGTTTTATACTCATGTAAAACAAACACATGTTAAAGATTTCACTTATTGTTAAAGAGCCAGTGAGCCGGAGCTCGGGAGTTCGAGACCAGCCTGGCCATCACGGTGAAACCCTGTCTCTACTAAAAATACAAAAAAATTAGCCGGGTGTGGTGCGTGCCTGTAATCCCAGCTGCTCAGGAGACTGAGGCAGAACTGATTGAACCTACCTGGGAGATGGAGGTTGCAGTAAGCCAAGATCGCACCACTGCACTCCAGCCTAGGCAACAAAATGACTCTGTCTCGGGGGGGAAAAAAAAGAAATTTTCAGTGCATTTAACAAAAAACAAGTATATTTTATGAAACTTCTGTTACTGTAAGCGCATTTTTTTTTTTTTCTACAGTGGATACCTGTTGTTTTGTGGTAGATACAGGGGCCCTAATGTGTTTCTTTTGTGATGTTCAATCTTCATTCGTACAAATTTTTTTTTTTTTTTTTTTTTTTGAGACAGTCTCACTCTGTCACCCAGGCTGGAGTGAAGTGGCTCGATTCTGGCTCACTGCAACCTCTGCCTCCTGAGTTCAAGCGATTCTGCTCCTCAGGCTCCTGAGTAGCTGGGATTACAGGCACCCACAACCACGTCCAGCTACATTTTCTGTATTTTTAGTAGAGACAGGGTTTCACCATATTAGCCAGGCTGGTCTCAAACTCCTGACCTCTGGTGATCTGCCCGCCTCGGCATCCCAAAGCGCTGGGATTACAGACACGAACCACCGTGCCTGGCCGCACTCAGTACAGATTTCTTAAGTGAATGGAGCATGGGCTGGCAGATGTGCACGGAAAGCTCCAAAGTCTCAGTTTATGGTGCATCACTCTTATCCTCTCTCCCCATCTCCCAGAACTGTGGGTGCGGAGCAATTTGAGTGCAATGCCAGATGGCCTGCTGAGACACTGCGGTCCTGCCGGTGGCCACAAGGGCTCAGTGTAGCCTGCTGGGACACTGCGGTCCTGCTGGTGGCCACAAGGGCTCAGTATAGACCTAAGGGTCACATGTCAGCAACTGTCAGGTGTCTTTCAGACACCAGCGGGTCCAAACTCTAATCAGTAAGGCTGGAAAACCAGGAGGCTCTTTTGGCAGCTGAAGGAGCAACAGAATTACCTTTACACGTGAGTGAGAGACGCCACCATCATCTCCCACACCTGGGTCACGGCGCTGGCTTGCTGGGCAGGAGACCCCGGGGGAAAATCCTGTAACTTCTCTGGGCTGGTTTCACCTGTGAAGAAAGAAAAGTGGCAAATGAAATATCCCAAGTGAAATTATTCCATGCACTGTCGAGTGTTACAGAAGAACAAGGCATTCTGCATCCAGGTGCAGCAGGGGTGCTGAGGAATAGGAGCAGGAGGAGAGAAGGCGCTTTGTTTAAAAAGCTTCTGAATGGGCTGGTGGCAAGGTGGCTCACACCTGTCATCTCAGCAGTTTGAAAGACTCAGGTGAGAGAATTGTTTGAGCCCAGGAGTTCGAGACCACCCCTCCACACACACCATTTCTACAAAGTTTAAAAAAAAAAAAAAAGCGCTCCTGGAAGACTCCAATGTCTACCCACCTCCCACCTACCCACAACTGAGCCATGAGCATTGGAGGTGCACTTGCCTTGGACATGAACCCCTATGGTGATAGCACACGCTCAGTGGGTGCACACAGACCTTCCTCCTGGAGAGGCTGAAGGTGGCAGAGATGCCCAGATAATTAAAATTGACTCAAAATGAGCTTCACAATCTCAGCACTGTCAACATTTTGGGCCAGATGATTCTGCTGTGGGAGGCTGTGCTGTTCAGCGTGGCGTGTTCAGCAGCATCCCCGGTCTCTACCTGCCAGATCCTAGTGTCATGCCTTACCACACGTTGTGACCATCAGCATTGCAGAATGTTCCCTGGGGTGCAAAATTGCCCGAGAGCCACAGCTCCAAAGTAACTTAGAAATCAGAGGGCACAGAAAGGGAGAGCTTGGCCAATCAGACGCCCCCAGCCAGGTATTCCCCAATCACCCTCCATCATAATCTTAGCGAAGTTTATTTACTCCTTCCCATAGCTTAATGCATCCTCAAATCTCTCTCCCTTTATGCCTGATATACCCATCTTCCCTCTCCTTTCCATTCCCACCACCTCAGGACATCATCCCTTACCACAACCTCTTTAGCCCAAGCCAAAGCCTCTGAACGATCTTGCCAGCTCTGGCAAGCAGCCACTCCAATTCTCCCTATAGGGTGCTGACAGGCCACTCTTCCTAAAGCTTAACTTTCAGCCTGTCTCTCCCCAGTTAAATCATCTCCATCTCCAGCTTTAGTGCATCATCAGCTGGGTGTCATAAACGCTCCACAATGTAGTCCCAACCTCAGCCTTGTTCCTTCCACACGTGCCGCCAGTAGCATTTGGGAGAGGAATAAGAGAAACATGATAGAATTACACGAGAAAATCTAGATCAAGCCCTGGAAATCATATTGACCCTGGAAAGCAGACATATGAAAATAAAAATAAGCCGTTTCTTCGGAATTGGAGTTCGCACATGATTATCTGACTATGGAAGTTCAGTTTCCTCCCAGGACAAGGAATAAAGGGAACAACGGGCAGGGTTTCCAGCCAGGGTTTCAACTACGTCAGACCCGTTATGTGCAGGCTCCATGGGTTAGCCGAGGCCTTTTGGAACCGGGTGGAAGAGAATGGAACGGAATTGAATCCGAACAGATCCAGCTGCGTCATGTGAGCTTAAACAAGCGTCTCCCTTTAAACTTGTGCTTCAGTCATCCAGACCCACAGGCGCAGTGTACACGCGTAAAAGGCATTTCTCAGTGTCGGCTATGGGTCAGCAAAGTTCGAAAGCCGTCACCGGAGATCTATAGAGTCAGAAGCCGGAGCGGGGTGCGTCCAGATCCGCAAAAGTGCAAGGTCACTGGGACCGCCGGAGCTGCAACCGTGGGATGGGGCTGGTGCTGCGGGTTCAGGAAGACAGCGCTGGGCGGGGCGGACACCGCCAGGGAACGGAGGGCGAGTGCTGGGGTCCTTGAAGTGGGGGTGTCGGGCTTAGGCCAGGGGACGGGGGTGAGGTGAGGAAGGAGGGGCGAGGAGCAAGGAGGGAATCGCGGGACACCCCACAGGAGGCGGCTGAGCGCCGAGACGCAGACCCCTCCCCAGCACCCGCAGCCCTCGGGACCCCCGGGAGAGCCGGACCGGGG